GGGAGTATATCATTTCACCAATGATCCTTTGTTAATGTTTTTTTAAAAAATGTGAATATAATTGTATATTCATACTTCTTTCTCTCTTCAATTAAGTTTTCTCCTCCTCTCGTACTCTTTCCCAAATTCGTTGATGAGTTTGAAGCTCTAAATCCATGAAATGATCATTCTTCTATTAATTATTAGTCTTCCTCGTAGAACCTAAAATCAAAACCAATAAGCTTTATGGATGAGTTTTATTAGTTAGTCACAAGAAATTGCAAAGAAAATAAACACTAAAACTCATTCATGAAGGTTACTGGTTTCGAATTTGGGTTCCACCAGTTAAACAAACAATTGAGAGAAGAGTGATGATTTCAGCTTAGGGTTCAAAGCTTCAAACTTAGTGACAGGTTTAGGAAATAAGTGCGAGGGAAGGGAAGAAGTTTAATTGAGGAAATGAGTGTTGATTTACATTTTTATCCACGTTTTTAATGGAAATATTAACAAAGAACCATTCGTAGAAATGAATATAATAATTGGGGATTGAATTAGTAACTAGATGTTAACGCCAAGACGCAGTTGAACACATCTAGTCACAACTCCGTCGGGGCCCAAAAGTGTTAACGCCAAGCAGGGGCGGCCCAGAGCCTGTTCCACATGATCGACCGCACATGGCCCAATTTTATGAAGGGCCCAATTTTTTCCAGAGCAGGTATGGATATTATGGAGTTTATACAATTCTTGCATAATTGCCCCTCGCCTAGTTGCCTTCTTCATAATAATGGATACCGATTCTCTAGTTCTCTGTGAGTTGAAAAATTAAAGAGCTGACTTTCTAACTTGAAGTGGTAGGATTTGTAATTATCACTCATTCTCTCGTCAAAATTGTATACGTGCATCTAGGTTTCTACCACCCATGCATGTGTGGAGGCCCTTATTTTTTTAAATTGTAGATATCATTTTTTTCTTTCTCTCTCTCACTATCTTCATAAAATTTTATCAATTAAGATATATTAAAAGAACATAGGCTTAATTTTGTAATTAATTTTTTATTGTCAATAACATACTCCCTTCGTCAGTAACAGATTGTCACAATTTGACTTTTTTGATCAAATTGTGGCATCCTCTGACCACAAACTACTTTTATTTTAAAATAATTAAATATTGCAAAAATTTGATATTTCGAAACTATATTTTTTAAAAAAAACTCAATTTTACTAAATTTACATTATTACTAAATAAACTTTTTCCATAATTCACGATTAAAGAGTTCCACCGTTTAACCAAAAAAGTCAAACTGTGGTAATCTTTTAAGGATAAAAGGAGTAGTTTTTTCACGTTGTATGGGTAATGTACTCCCTCCGTCTCAAAAGAGTTCGAATGTTGTTGTTTACAAGGTTAAACTAAAGGTATTTTTAAATCAATTTATTAAATATTGGTAAAAAAAATAAAAAATAAAATCTATATATTTAAAACTACATAATAAATTCTACAAAACAAGATGTGATAAGATTATATTATTTTTTTCAAATGAGTCACAGAAATGGGTTAAGAACATGAATAAAGTTTAATCATATGAATAATAAACATGTAACTTAATTTGGAACGAGAAAGTAACAAATATAATGGAGGCCCAATATTTCTTTTGCACAGGCCCTTCTAGAGCTAGGACCGGCCCCTGACGCCAAGATTATTGTTTTGATGAATGAAAAAGCAGTGGCCCAGTTCGTCCGTCCGTCTAAATGGAGTACAAAGAAGGTTAGTCTCTTCATTATACGAACATGTCAAGAAAATGTTAGAATTTAGCTTACATGCGGTAATACTGCATCAGTGGGAAATCTAACATGATACCCGGTCCATCCTTATATCTTTAGGCTTAAAGGAAGAGCCCAATTTGTGGTATCATTTCTGTTTTAAAGAAGTACAATAAAAAGGTTATCCTAATCTACAAAATGTCAATGGAATTAGACGAGAGCCTATTTCTCCAAAAGAATTTCATTCTTAAGAATAGTGTGTGCTTTGTTAACAGGGGAATTAAACTGCAAAGGTATTGAAAATGTGTTAGGCCTCAAATTTAAATAGAAATGTACATTGTTAAAAGAAATAACAATTCACAATATTGCGAAAGTCATCTATCGTAAGAGGGGAGAAGATTAGAGTTAAGAAATAGAGAAGAATTACTCTTCTCAAGGGGAGAGTGTAGACGATATAAAGCAATGAAATGTTAGTGTTAGCTAGAGAGAACAAATTAAATGAACTTAGTGATTGTGTATGAGGATTTATGCTCTTATGTTTTGTGCACCACATTTAACTTTTATTTAGTAATTTGTATCAATAAAACATGTCTGAACACGCACACACACTTATTAGTCACTAATAGAAAATAAATTTAAAATAGAATTCAAATATTAGCTATTGGGTAATTTTACCAAGATAGTCAAGTATAGATCGATGGTCCATCCTTAAGTTTGAAATAGTAGCCTGATTTTAACTGCCAATTAAATGGTGGGCATGGTTAGTGTATTTTTTGTTTGCAATTGATACGGATAGTTAATTATAATATTTTAATTAGTTATATTATTATTTAGTAGTTATTTATTACTCCGTATTATATAATGATGGTCTAGGGTTTTAGTATGGGGCCGAGCTCATTAGGTCAATTAGGTATATTGTAACTCTTCGTTGTTATTATTCAATAAATCAATAATCAATAATTCTCTATTATCTTCCTCTTTTTTCTCTTGAGAGTCTAGAAACACTCAAAATTTTCCATTTGGAGCTTGAAGACGCTCGATCTTATCCCGATATTTTATCATATCAAAGTGTCTCACAGAAATCTTCAAAAAAAACAAAAAAAAAACAAAAAAAGCTGTCATCACTAGCCTAAACCATCAAATTGGAGGTTCCAAAGCTTGCCACCGGCCTAGCTCAAACTATATCGCCGCCGTTAGATCGTGTGGTGCCGCCCAGATCGCAAGTTGCCCTATTCTGCCGCCGCCGACAACCCATCACCACAACCAGCCGCCTTGCAGATTGAAACCCGCATCGGCAGAGACGGAAACATCGAGGTTCCCTGGCTGAAATCACGCCGTCGTCTCCGTAAACTTAGCTATTGTCAAATTGCTTTTCCGTGACCAGATCTGCCTCACAGCCGCACAAAGGAAAAAGTAAAGCAAAGTGCAAGCCGCTTATCACCAGGAGGAATAAGCAGATCCAAATTAGAAAAATTTGCGGCACACTTGGGTTCCAGGTTCTATAATTTTTTGTCTGGTGCATGAGTGCATCAATTAATATATAAAAAAAACTGCAAAAGGGAGCTTGCAGCGGTACCCAATTTTTTAGAGTAATTGCCTTGGAGTTTTCGTTGCCACCTAGCCTCTTCATTTTGCCATTGTTTTGTTTGCCACTGCCTCCAAGAAAAAAAATCACCCAAGACAAAATTTGGAAATAATCAACATTGAGGAGTGCCACCATGACTCATACAGCATCCACGAGCATAAATCTCTGCACCCAGGTTCGTGATCTTAGCCAGGTGTTCGTGCAGGTGCGAAAAGTAATGGAATATCGATTCGATCGGCTAGATGCAGCGTTGTTGGAAATTCAAACCCACTTGGCCGAGTCTTCCGTCGGTAGCATTAACGAAGTCACCCATACGCCCAAGCTGGAAATACCCAAGAGTGATGGCTCCCAACCCATGCGTTGGTTGCATTTGGTAAAAGAATACTTTGCTTATTATGAAATCCCCTCAAAGGATCGTTTGCAATGTGTGACATCGATGTTGGAAGGGGCCGTGGCAGATTGGTTCCGTTGGCGTATGAATTACGGGCTCATTAATGATTAGGATGATTTTGTGCACAAGTTCAAAATTCGATTTGATCCCTTTCATTACGTCTTTATGGAGAAGATACCCGAAGAGGCCCAAGAAATAATTATTCAGGTAGGGAAAGGAGCAGTTGTACACCCAACACTTGTTGTCATGGATAAAGGTGGATCTCAGAAATTGAGTGCTGGAGTAAACGTCAAGGATGATGACATATATAGTGGGACTGATGCAATAGGGGAAGAGAGGGATACCCCTAGTGGCGAGGATGAAGCAAACTACGAGCTCGAGTGTACACCTTGTGCCAGAGACGTTGCAAAGGGCCAGACCTTGAGATGTGTCATCGACCCAAATAGCCAACACCCTCTTTCTTTAGTTTGGTCTCGCATAATCATGATGTCTCACCACCCCCTTATCATCAAGTCAGAGAATCAGGATTTGAAGGGAGCTGCTATACATGTTATTTTTGGGTCTCACCCATATTTCCCGCAATGTGCCCCAAAAGTCAAGTCGGGTAAAGACTGGTCAACAAGTGAACATCTTCTTTCAATCATCACTTTCTCCCCTATCCAAAAACATGAGTGGAAACCTCCACCTTGAGGACAAGGTGGTTTTCTAAGACGGTGAGAATGATACGGATAGTTAATTGTAATATTTTAATTAGTTATATTATTATTTAGTAGTTATTTATTATTATATAATGATGGTCTAGGGTTTTAGTATGGGGCCTAGCCCATTAGGTCAATTAGGTTATTTGCATTCTTTATATATTGTAACTCTTCGTTGTTATTATTCAATCAATCAATAATCAAGAATTCTCTAATATCTTCCTCTTTTTTCTCTTGGGAGTCTGGAAACACTCGAAGTTTTCCATTTGGAGCTTGAAGACGCTCGAAGTTCTTCTTATGACTACATGCTTAACTAGACAACTTTGTTATAAAGGGATGGCCAAATTGACTAAGTCTGAGTTCATTATATTTAACAAACATGCACGGCGAGGAATAAATGAAGAGTAAATAAATATGAAGTTATTGAGATGTTATTAAAACATTCTTTTCGCTGTAAATGTAAAAAAACACATATTTGTACTAATCTCTCCCTTTTCTCTAGAACTAGTAAATGCAAATGCCTTACTTTCTTTTTTAAGAAAATAAATATTGTTTCTAGCACTAATTACAAGTCTAAAATGTGAGTTACAGAGTACTCAGTATGCATTTGAAAAGAACAAAGGAAAAAGATCAAATGGGCTAGGGGCTAAATTAGGGTGGATTGAAATAAGGCCTGGAAAAGAGGGTTACTGCCCAACCCAAAAGAAAGCATCACCCAACGTTTGGGGTTCGGAATGCTCTGCACCATTCCACGCTCTTTCGTTCGGCGCCACTTTGTTCTCACCTCTTTCGGTATCAATATCGATCTCCTACAATGTTGTTCTTCTCTACATTTTGAATTCAATATCTTTTAATGTTGACGGATCCATATGACAGTGCAATCTCTTTGATCACGGATCGAAGATACACTCCAATCTTCTAAAGGAGATCAGTGTGTTTAGCTTAGGTCATGTAATGCATTTGTCGATCTTCCTTGTTCAATTTCTCTCTTAGGTTCTTTTTTCTTTGAAATAGAAACGCGAGAATTTTTTCTGCAACTAAGTTAAGAAACCAAAAAATAAAATACAGAGTACAATGGAAAGGAAGCCTCATACATAATGATGATAATATCCATTATCCAGTGCATCTCTTGTGAAAATCAAACTTACTGTAGCTAAATAAAATTGAAAGGGTACCTTTCCAATTTATACCACTAAGTGCACCAATGCAGAAGAGTGAAGGAACCTAAGTTCCGCCACCATCATTCTTATGGCGTGAGATGAAACTGGCTCTGGAGTTTTGGGGGGGGGGCATAGGAGATGATTATCTACTTCGATTTTTTATCTATTATATTAAAAGTTAGCCATGCAATTATTGATTTAGATATGGAGAAGTTTCTGCATTAATGCTTAATTAGTTTGCCTGGCCTATAGGCACTTCATTGCGGCAAATGCAACGTCAACCTTTTCGGTCTATCGTTTCCAGTTACCCAGGGGAGGTGGTTCTTGTATCAGTACAGGTAAGATCCTGCAAAAACTAGTTGTACTTGAAATTGTTGTCTTATATACTGCTCATTTTTCATTCCAGTTAATTAAACACTCTTCTTTTAATGGCGTACATGACGACATCGTGCGAAGTATTTTTCAAACAAATTTTATAAATTTAAATATAATAAGACTGAAAAAACTACTGCAGATAAACTTTTGTTCAAGTTAAAATGAGCACCAATCTTTGTGGTACAATTTTAATTATTCATACTCCCTCCGTTTCTAAATAGAGTTCTCATTTTGACTTTTTGGAAATTTTAATAGGAGTGCATTTTGTAGTTGACATTCCAATTTTTGCCCTTGGATGTGATAGGTAAAAAGTAGGATGTAGGGGTAGGTTAATAAGTAGTAGGGGTAACAGTGAATTTTTAATGGAAAGTGGGAGTGTGTTGTGGGTATAGAGCAGGAATATTGCGGATTTGAAAATTAGGATGCGAAATTGCTACTCAATGTCCTCTTATGTGGGATATTATAACTTCAAAATTTATCTTCACATGGACTTATCTCGTGTAAATCACCTATAGTAGTCGTTATGGTTTCTCACACTGAGCAAAAGTTTTTTTTGTGTGATCAGTGTCCAAATCCCGATTTCAACAGACCAAATTTCAGATGGAGAATGTTGCAGGCAGCGGTCATTAATTGAAGCAGTAGCTGATATGCTAGTGTTCGGTGGGAAGGTACTAGAGCGTTAACGTGATCTATTCTCATATCTGTTATCCATTAAGAATTGAAGCTATTATCTTCATTACTCTATATTATGATAACTTCAACTGATGGAAATACATGTTTGATTTTCAGTTTAACTTTCTAAGGTAAAACAAAATGTTAAAATAATCATTTGCCTTTGCTTTCTCTCTCTCTCTCTCTCTCTCTCTCACTTCCCTACCATTTTTGAGTTCCGATTTCCAAATATGGCCTTGATTGACATGCAGGTATTTCTCCAGTCTGATATTGAAGCTGTGGCTGTGAGAATGAAAGATGAATTCATGGGGCATGACCAAGAAAAGCTCGGAGTTGTGGATCCTTCAGGGCAATGGCTGAAGGAAAATCCATTTGGAGTTGCATCAGATTGGGAAAAGCATGTTCTGGAACGCGGTGACCCCATGTATAGGCTTTTACTCTTTAAACTGGGAAGCTGAAATTGTGATGCTCTCTACACAATTATACCTCACCTCTGGAGGTAACCACCTATTCTTGCCCTCCCAATTTTATAGTATCTTCTTTTGACTTTGCGTGTTTTTTAAAAGAGTGATAATCGTGTGGTGGAGATTTACAGAGTATTTAGGAAAGAGAAACAATATGAATGAAGATGAAAAGAAAAACAGAAAGGGGTATGAAAGATGGAGGAAAAATTTGGGACAAAAGAAAGAAGAAAAAGAGGGCACGTATCAAATACGTTAAAGAAAAGAAAGCTTCTAATTGTAACTTGAAACCAACTATTTAAGGAAGTTTGTAACATTTTTGAGTTAACTTTCATTTGTCTAGTGGGCTTTTTCTGATTGTAAATTCAGTTTGAAGCAGACTGTGTAAATACCACTGAATATTTAAACTCTTTTCACGATTCTTGTACTAAGATGATTTTGTCAATCTTCGTGATTGAATCGGAGATTCATCTCATGCTTGTGCGTGTTTGTGTAAACCAGAAAAAGGGTGTATGGCAGCAAAGTTTGAATTATGGTTGGTCAGAAGCATGTAAGACGCTTTCAGTCGCCTTTCTGAAAGCCTTGGGAGCATTGATAATCTGTGAGGCGCGAACCATTTATACATTCTTTGACCATGTTCGGGAAATCAAGCACTCCATTCGCTGCCGAATTCTACTTATGAATGTTTTGATACGTATCTAATTCTCTCCACACACCATGATATGTAGGAACAAGGCATTTTGGTTGGCTTGGTGGAACTTTGCCTAGCTTACCAAGTGGATCAGGAAATTCATTGCCAATGCCATAGCCAGAGAGACAAAGTATAAAATGCAGGGGGAATTCAGAACTGCACAGATATTTGAGGTATTTGTACTTGTGAAGTCTTGAGTGTAGCAATTGGTCAATAACAATATTTTGTTGCCTCTCTAGTCTCCACTCTTGTGCCCTTTAGACCCTAATCACCAATTACATTAGCTATGAGATTGAGATTTATGGAAAAGATAGAGAAACCTTACCCAATTGTGAAATTCTTTGTTAAAAGTTACTCGTGTAATTTTGGGACGATCAAAAAACTAAAAAAAAAACCAAAACAAAAGCAGCAAAATATTTTTCGTATTTTCATCTTTATTTTAAATACTTTAGTTATTGTTGATGGCAGGTGAAAGCAAACCACATTTGAGACTAGTTGTGGCCTGAATTTAAGTTATTTAACTACAGAATATTTCAATATAGTCATGCTAGAAATCCACGTACCATGCTTGGGCAAATGTTTATGCTACGACCGATGTATCATGACAAACTTATAATTTAAAAAAAAGTTTCAGGACGAAATTTGCGTCATTTTAGAATAAATATGTTTCAAAGTGAACTTTACATTGTTTTCGGATAAATGCTATGCTGAACAGACTTCAGAATGAACATTGTTGTTGAAATGAATATTTTGTCGATTTAAAGTTAACATTTTGTTGATTCAAAGTAAATATTTTCCGGATGTACCAAATTTTACGTACAACTGGGTGTACGGTAAACATGTGTTTGACACTACAAATGACAATTGTCTATAAATTTTTATACAGAAACAATAATTGTCTGTGAAGTTTGTATGTTCAATTGTTTGGGCCAGTTTCTAGCACTTTTGTACTTTGTATTTATTTTGTAACTATTGTTTTAACGGTATATATTCTGTATTCTCCACTTATTCAGGTTTCAAACTCTTAACTTTTAAAAGTATTATTCGTATTGTATTCAGACTTTAAACTATAATCAAAATTATTCCAAGATTTCTAAAGTCTTCAATTTCTTGTAATGGTTTAAACACGTTTAACTGTATTTTTGGCAAGCAAATTTGAAACACCTTAAACATCCTCTGAGTACAGCCGGAGGATAGCTTTTTTTTAATTCTACCTTAATTAGCAAATAAACTAAGACTAGTCATAAGATTATATTACTCCTATTAATAATACTGATTTTAAGATTAACACGGGTTACTTCACAATAAAAAAAACGAGTAATTTTCTAATGACAAAAATTTCTGCTTCTTCATCCGGGATGACAACTCATGCACATATATAGAAATGAGAAAGAGAAGGATAAATGGGATAATAGAGATGAGTATTGGAAGAAGAAGAAATGGGTGAAAACAAGAAAATGGGAAGAAAATGTGGATTTTTGCTCATTCTATTAAATAATTTCCACACTGGCATAAAGACTCGAAAAATGTTAAAAAGATTGATAGGTTCCTTTGGTCACAATTGCCCCCAGGAGGAGGACGTGACCCTATTAAATCAATTATGCTCACAATTGCCCCCCAGGAATGACAGTTCGTGCCTTTGGTCATCATCGGTCAATGGGGCAGGCTGCTCGGTCAGTGCCCGGAGAGTGGCGGTGACGAAGCCAGTGCCACTGTCGTACGTCCGGCAGTTGGGAAACTGCTTGAAGAACTCGTTCTACGGCGCATATTACTATTTTGCCCATTGCTTAGGCTTAGCCTGTAGCCTCGTGCAGACGATGTTAGTGGTGCTTGGATTCAAAAGGACTTTGTACCTGAAATAAGCTCAAGGAAATATTCGGGGACTTTGATTTATTGAGCTTGAGCCAACTTTTACTTACCCATCAAAGTTCAGATTTTACTGGTTTCACTAAAAAGCAGGAGGAACAAGGAGAAGAACAAGGCACTTACTCATGGAAGATAGGATCGGCATGCTCCAGTCCGGGGAACCCTAGATGGGGCAGAAGCTACAAGGGCATATACAAAAAAAAAATACTCCTATAGAAAATGATCTGGGAAGATATTGCGTCGCAGCGGACAACCTGCCACACAAATGAATCCCTTGATTTACTAAGCAACCCTTCAAGAACTATTTGTCTTCTTCTAATAATTTACAAGTATATTTGTGGAGTTGTCCTTTTGACACCACCAATAGCTTAAACTTAGTTTTGATGAAGAGTCATTGGGGGGAAAAGCAGAGAGAAAAAATACCCTTGTTTCAGAGTCTTATATGACTGAGGCATCTTTGATATTTTCTGTTTTGGATCTGTTCTTATTCGACCAGTGCAAGTACTACTCTCGTTCGTCCATAGAGATCTGCCTCTCTTGCAGTGTCAGTAACGATGGCAAACCAAAACACTGATGGTGATGAATATAGCCTCTATGCCTTTGTTGGGTAAGTTTGTGTACAGCTTTACCCACATACCTCAACGAAACTGGTATCAGATAATCTTATAATTTCCAAATCCAGGAATAGTATGATTCGTTCTCTTTCAATTTAGAGATCTACTGCTGTTTGGTTATGTGAATCCATAAGTCATCCACCAATAGCAAGGGAAGGTTGGTTGATATCACGATTTGAAGGAGCTATGACAGCAAAGTCCCACTGGGATTCAAATAATTTTGAATTTCATTTGAATTCATGCATTTCAATTCCAAAATTTGAAATCTTGAATTTTAAATGACAAGGGGAGGTGCATGAATTTGAAATTGAGCTTTGTTATGAATGAGAAGAATTTGACTCGAATCCAAATTCAAAATTTTTAAGTTTTCCAAACATGGAATTTGAGTCAAATCCGGATTTGAAATCCAAATCCATGTTCCCAAACATATCATTGGCGAATTTGAAAGGGTCGGTGCAGGTATGGATAGGGAATTGTCCTGTATTTGTATCCCAGTTGGCAGGGAATCAGCTGGCATTAGGCTTTTTGTAAAAGCATTGAAAGAAACTCTAAACTTACAAGAAGGAACTGGAACAGCAGATGGTGTGAAGCCTACCAGGATCTTTAATGATTGATCAAATGCTTAAAGTGGAGGGAGTAGTGGAGCAGCTGAGCACTCCTATATCTTCAAATCTTTTAGAACAGGATATTACACAAAAAAGGGAAATTTCTCTGATTGAGATGAGCTTGATGGATGAGGAAGAGAAGGTACCACCTTCTCTATGGATGAGGAAGAGAAGGTACAAATTCTATTTCAACCAGCTTTTGAGGCTTATTTTGAGTCAAATACTTGAGGCTTTGGCAAAAAAAGTGCTTTTGGATAAACTAAAATCCGGTTTACTTCAAAATATGTCGGGAAAGATACTTAGAGAGAGCATCTCGTGAGACGGTGAAAAGCATGGAAAAAGTGAGCCTAATTCACGTTGAAGGATCAAAACACCTAATTTTCTTTTCCTCCTCTAAAGATGATGAGAGGCTAGTGGTAGAGTTCCATACGTACAAGGGAGCAAGACGAGGAATCACAAATGGTTAAATCTCAATTTAGAATGGTTGAGGGGCTATCTTATAATATTTTAAAGATGTTTTCTGTTTTGGTTGCACTCTAAGAGAATGGGCAAATGCTATCTTCTGTTTTGGGCAAGCAATTTAGGTGAATTTTGCAAGGGAGAAGAGGGAACCAGTTTGGCCATATTGTTGGGGCTCTGGCCACCCCCTCTGTATTTCTTCTTTGTTTAATATATATAAAAAAAAAGATGGAGCTGAGTAGCCTTCTTTCTTCCATGAAAGTTTATTTATTACGTCTTCTATGGAGTGGTCCTTTTTCTTCTATGAAAGTTTATTTATTACTCACTCACCTCAATAGTTGTGGCATATATGATTAGTGTATAATCCGAAAACACTCAAAGCAAAAGCAAGGTTACATTCCAACTAAAGAACCTAAGTGTTATGGCAAATGCATGTGAAGAAAATGTAACTATAAACACCGCCCGCCCACCTATGAATGATATGTAAACGATCAGAACAAACTTGTCATTGGGCTGCTACTGAGGAAGCACAGTAAACATTGAGAAAATCTGCACGAGATAAGGAACTCACAAACACCTGCAACACCTAGATAAGGTGGCTTCATCTGGTTGCACTTGCTAAAGAACCGTAAATGCGCTTGGGTGTGGTGGATCATCATCAGCATGAGAGTCTGCTGTAGTCAAGGGATCAATCACTTTGTCCGATGCTGACCTCCGATCCAATTCGGAGGAGGCACACACTGCCACGACCAGTAAAAAACAACAGAATAGTAACTCCATAACCAGCTGTTGCAATTGCATAAGAGTACTTTAGTTTCATCATTAGACCTCAGCAGAAATCCACAATCACACTTTCTCATAGCGCATTTACAGATTTAAATCTTACATATTCTTTCTTTAATTTCACATTCAGATAAGATATTGTCAAAGTTACACAGAATATTTTAATATATAGAACACCTATACCTGCATTGTACTACCATGAACCAAAACACTTAGAATTCATTATAGTTAAAGTGTGCACCTTCTAATATATACATCAATTTAAGATTTTGTCTGTAATACCCCGTATTAAGATGGGAATGGGAAGAGCTCAAAAGGATTGATAGTACTACTTATACCAACAAGAGGCTTCACATGCAGATACGTAATGACAATTAGAATACTTATTTGTTTCATAATACACCATAATATCAACAATGCCAAAGTTAGATTGGGTAACTGCAACAGTTACTTTATTTAGATCTTTATTTACATATTTAAAGAGATATTTGATTGAATTAGATTTATTTCAATGTTCAATGTTGTTTGATCTTGAAACCTCATCAAGAGTTGTGAGTTGTATGTCACAACAATTCGATTATCCAACTCGATATTCTTTTTCATTATATTGTGGTGACCTCTAAGGTTCTTTTGTATATCAGGTAGTTATTCCCATCAAACGATGTCTTATCAATAAATTTTTTGGGAAAATGTTTCATAAATTTATCATTCTCCATATATAGAGATCTAGGACCATTTATGCTACATGGATCATGCATCAATAATCGAGTTACGAACTCATAAAATCTAGGATATTTATCTTTATTATGAACCTCTACACATGTCACACGATCAATTGACTCAAGCGATTGAAGGTTATCCCTCTAGTGTAACCATATTAAGATATGTGCATGAAGCAAGCTTCTTATATGAAATTCAAAAGAGTACAAACATGCACAAAATCATTACATTCAAATGACAACATTTTAAATTGAATGTCCATTTAAATTGTTTTTTATTATACAATATCAAATATTTAAACAACTTAATTTTTTTTATGTTATATACCATTTAAATTTCACACACACACACATACAAACACACACACACACATAAAATCTAGGTTTACTAAATTATTACAAATATATAATTCTTCTCACCCCCTGAATTCAAAAAATATACGACAAAAACATTGGTGATTTTATTATTCTTCTCCCCTGCATTTATTTAACAAACTTAGATTTCCGATCTTGTAATTTTAATATAAAAAANTTCTTATCATATGATTGTTAATTTATGTTTTCACACTTTTAATAATACAAGAAAAAAGAGTCAATTTTTAATTAGTGCAAAGGGCCAAGGAGAGAAAGAATCACATTAATGCATCATAGAAATTAAAATCATATATTTCCGTTAATGTAAATTAATCTGGCGGAGAAGAATCATGATTTTTTATATTAAAATTACAAGATCGGAAATCTAAGTTTGTTAAATAAATGCAGGGGAGAAGAATAATAAAATCACCAATGTTTTTGCCGTATATTTTTTGAATTCAGGGGGTGAGAAGAATTATATATTTGTAATAATTTAGTAAACCTAGATTTTATGTGTGTGTGTGTGTTTGTATGTGTGTGTGTGTGAAATTTAAATGGTATATAACATAAAAAAAATTAAGTTGTTTAAATATTTGATATTGTATAATAAAAAACAATTTAAATGGACATTCAATTTAAAATGTTGTCATTTGAATGTAATGATTTTGTGCATGTTTGTACTCTTTTGAATTTCATATAAGAAGCTTGCTTCATGCACATATCTTAATATGGTTACACTAGAGGGATAACCTTCAATCGCTTGAGTCAATTGATCGTGTGACATGTGTAGAGGTTCATAATAAAGATAAATATCCTAGATTTTATGAGTTCGTAACTCGATTATTGATGCATGATCCATGTAGCATAAATGGTCCTAGATCTCTATATATGGAGAATGATAAATTTATGAAACATTTTCCCAAAAAATTTATTGATAAGACATCGTTTGATGGGAATAACTACCTGATATACAAAAGAACCTTAGAGGTCACCACAATATAATGAAAAAGAATATCGAGTTGGATAATCGAATTGTTGTGACATACAACTCACAACTCTTGATGAGGTTTCAAGATCAAACAACATTGAACATTGAAATAAATCTAATTCAATCAAATATCTCTTTAAATATGTAAATAAAGATCTAAATAAAGTAACTGTTGCAGTTACCCAATCTAACTTTGGCATTGTTGATATTATGGTGTATTATGAAACAAATAAGTATTCTAATTGTCATTACGTATCTGCATGTGAAGCCTCTTGTTGGTATAAGTAGTACTATCAATCCTTTTGAGCTCTTCCCATTCCCATCTTAATACGGGGTATTACAGACAAAATCTTAAATTGATGTATATATTAGAAGGTGCACACTTTAACTATAATGAATTCTAAGTGTTTTGGTTCATGGTAGTACAATGCAGGTATAGGTGTTCTATATATTAAAATATTCTGTGTAACTTTGACAATATCTTATCTGAATGTGAAATTAAAGAAAGAATATGTAAGATTTAAATCTGTAAATGCGCTATGAGAAAGTGTGATTGTGGATTTCTGCTGAGGTCTAATGATGAAACTAAAGTACTCTTATGCAATTGCAACAGCTGGTTATGGAGTTACTATTCTGTTGTTTTTTACTGGTCGTGGCAGTGTGTGCCTCCTCCGAATTGGATCGGAGGTCAGCATCGGACAAAGTGATTGATCCCTTGACTACAGCAGACTCTCATGCTGATGATGATCCACCACACCCAAGCGCATTTACGGTTCTTTAGCAAGTGCAACCAGATGAAGCCACCTTATCTAGGTGTTGCAGGTGTTTGTGAGTTCCTTATCTCGTGCAGATTTTCTCAATGTTTACTGTGCTTCCTCAGTAGCAGCCCAATGACAAGTTTGTTCTGATCGTTTACATATCATTCATAGGTGGGCGGGCGGTGTTTATAGTTACATTTTCTTCACATGCATTTGCCATAACACTTAGGTTCTTTAGTTGGAATGTAACCTTGCTTTTGCTTTGAGTGTTTTCGGATTATACACTAATCATATATGCCACAACTATTGAGGTGAGTGAGTAATAAATAAACTTTCATAGAAGAAAAAGGACCACTCCATAGAAGACGTAATAAATAAACTTTCATGGAAGAAAGAAGGCTACTCAGCTCCATCTTTTTTTTTATATATATTAAACAAAGAAGAAATACAGAGGGGGTGGCCAGAGCCCCAACAATATGGCCAAACTGGTTCCCTCTTCTCCCTTGCAAAATTCACCTAAATTGCTTGCCCAAAACAGAAGATAGCATTTGCCCATTCTCTTAGAGTGCAACCAAAACAGAAAACATCTTTAAAATATTATAAGATAGCCCCTCAACCATTCTAAATTGAGATTTAACCATTTGTGATTCCTCGTCTTGCTCCCTTGTACGTATGGAACTCTACCACTAGCCTCTCATCATCTTTAGAGGAGGAAAAGAAAATTAGGTGTTTTGATCCTTCAACGTGAATTAGGCTCACTTTTTCCATGCTTTTCACCGTCTCACGAGATGCTCTCTCTAAGTATCTTTCCCGACATATTTTGAAGTAAACCGGATTTTAGTTTATCCAAAAGCACTTTTTTTGCCAAAGCCTCAAGTATTTGACTCAAAATAAGCCTCAAAAGCTGGTTGAAATAGAATTTGTACCTTCTCTTCCTCATCCATAGAGAAGGTGGTACCTTCTCTTCCTCATCCATCAAGCTCATCTCAATCAGAGAAATTTCCCTTTTTTGTGTAATATCCTGTTCTAAAAGATTTGAAGATATAGGAGTGCTCAGCTGCTCCACTACTCCCTCCACTTTAAGCATTTGATCAATCATTAAAGATCCTGGTAGGCTTCACACCATCTGCTGTTCCAGTTCCTTCTTGTAAGTTTAGAGTTTCTTTCAATGCTTTTACAAAAAGCCTAATGCCAGCTGATTCCCTGCCAACTGGGATACAAATACAGGACAATTCCCTATCCATACCTGCACCGACCCTTTCAAATTCGCCAATGATATGTTTGGGAACATGGATTTGGATTTCAAATCCGGATTTGACTCAAATTCCATGTTTGGAAAACTTAAAAATTTTGAATTTGGATTCGAGTCAAATTCTTCTCATTCATAACAAAGCTCAATTTCAAATTCATGCACCTCCCCTTGTCATTTAAAATTCAAGATTTCAAATTTTGGAATTGAAATGCATGAATTCAAATGAAATTCAAAATTATTTGAATCCCAGTGGGACTTTGCTGTCATAGCTC